GTTAAATCGTGTGTGAGAGCGAATGTGTGGGCAGTTCTTCCAGCATGGTCAGTTTTAGAGGAACTTAACCACGACTCGTGGTGAGCATTGAAGTCCCCTAAAAACACCAATTCCGCTGTAGGAAACTGCGCCTGTAAGGTGGTCTATGAGACGAGTTGTCTCCATGTCGCCGTGGTGGGATCTGTAGAGGCACATGTAGACACGGCAATGACTGCCCAGGTCAACATGTACCCCAAGGATGGAGAAGGAGGGGTCCTCCAAATGACGCAGACGGCGACAGCAAACATCTGCCCGGACAAACAAGCAGACCCCAGCTTTCGCTTTGAAGGACTCTTCAAGCATATAGCCAGGGTAATTCAAGTAGCTGCTGTCAGCCGGGCAGAGTATTTGCGTCTCCGTAAGGAACAGCATTTCTGGTCGAGCCGTCTCAAGATGTTGGTGGACGGCGTGGATGTTACTGTGGAGTCCTCGAATGTTCGTGAACTCCACCTTAAAGAGCGCTTTAGTGGTGGGGGTGTGCACCGCTGTACGACCGAAATTTGTACTTTGCGCTAACATGTTGGAGGGAAAAAGATGCGTGAAGCGAGAAAACAGTGCCGCGACACAAGCGGTCAAATCGCGAGGCCTGCTTCCCCAGAGACTTGCCTACAGACAAGTTGCGCTGATCCGCCGGACGGAAGGGCCCCCGAACCCCCCCGGGAATGGCCGCCGGGACCCCACCTCCCGGTCACCAACCGGCACGACGAACCACACCGAGATTATGCGCGGTATGTTGAGGCAGCCTCACGAGCTGGTTAAGCACGCTTGGGCCCCTGTACTGTACCGCGGGCGGCCAGCGGAACAACCGTTTCTATGGGTCTCCCTGGCCGGCGGGTCAATGCAGTTGTCCTGGCACTGGTTCGGCGGAAGCCTCCACAGACCACAAATGTCGCGGCAGCGTTGCCTCGGGCTCTGGTTGTACGCTGACTGATCCCGGAACGCATCCGACTAGCGAACACTTGGCGGGTTTTCCACCATGCGCACGGTGGTCACTAACCAGCCGGGTTTTCAAGCCCTACCACCAGTGGAGCAGCTGGTAGCTCAATATCCCTTAGTCGCCTCTTACGACACCCACGGGAAGAGAGGGGCGGTGAATTGTATTCTAATCCGTCACCGCACGGTACAAGTCGTGGGCCTGATAGTAAGTGACACGCCTGACCATAGCAGTTGCAGTGCCACTCAGAGCTTTAAAACGTAAAGATCGGAAGGGCAATGCCACTGCGACACCCTGAGACAAGTTGACAAATCCCATATGCCTGTAATTTAAACAGCACCCCTACCCCTCAAAACCGGGACGCAGTATTACTCACATTACTGCTTGGCGGCAGAAATACTTAAGGTGGCAGTACTTTCCTGGAAAAACTGTTTCACGATGAGCGCATCCGTCATTTGGTATTATAATCACCAAACAGTAGAGAGTACTAAAAAACCGACCTCAAAAGTCATTCATACCCTAGTATGCCATCCTTAGAGGTGGAATATTTTCTTCAAATTTAAATGGGACCACAACTGAGGTACCCTCTTTCCAACAAAAAAGAATTATCAAAATCGGTTTACAAGTTATCGCGTAACATATATAAAAAAATACATTTTTACGAATTGAGAACCCCTTTTTTTTGAAGTCGGTAAACACAAAAATTAAACGTGTTGTCATTATTTATAAGAGCAACCAGCAAAGTATGATTCCAATTCATGTAATGACATGAATGAATACATTGTAATGTTTTGTCATTATTAGCATAGTATACTAAAATAAGATATGGTAATTCCATACAAACGTATTATTAGCAACGCGGCTTGTGCATTCTCTACGCCCGCCTCAGAGACTACGTCATGTCTCACAATCTCCTCCCCGACGAACAGTTTGGTTTTAGAGCTAGACACTCATGCGTCCAGCAAGTACACCGGATAGTGAAACATATCTCCGAAGGTTTCGATCGCCCCCGCTTCATGCCCACCGGCGCCCTCTTCTTCGATGTGGCAAAAGCTTTCGACAAAGTCTGGCACAACGGTTTACTTTACAAGCTGTACAATCTCAGCGTGTCTGATCGTCTCGTGCTCATCTTTCGAGACTTCCTGTCGAAGCGCTTTTTCCGCTACCGAGTTGAGGGCGCACTCTCCTCCCCTCTCACCGTAAGAGCTGGAGTCCCACAAGGCTCTGTCCTCTCGCCCCTCCTATTCTCTCTGTACACTTGCGATATCCCGAAGTATCAGGCAGTAAATCTCGCCCTCTTTGCCGACGACACTGCGCTCTATTATTCGGCGCGCAGCTCCAAATTAGTTTCCGCGGCTCTCCAATGAGCCCCCACACGTCTAGGCGAGTGGTTTCGCAGATGGAGAATCAAAGTTAATCCCGACAAAAGCGCGGCGGTATTGTTCACGCGAAGTAACCTATCCAGCCGTAGGGTACAAAACCTCACCCCGATCTCGCTCTTTGACAGCCTAATCCCTTGGGTGAACATGGTCAAATACTTAGGAGTTACGGTCGATAGGAAGCTATCATTCAAAGCACACGTGAAAACCGTCCGCGACCGCGCCCACTTTGTTATGAGCCGGCTCCACCCCCTTCTCACAGCAAACTCTCCTTTCGCAATAAGGTGAGATTGTACACGACCAGCATCCGCCCAATCATGACGTACGTCAGCGTCGCATTCGCTCAGGCAAATCCCGCGTTTATACACCGCCTGCAGGCTCTCCAAAATAGATTCATGCGCAACGCGACAGGTGCCCCGTGGTACCTGCGCAACGCTAACCTCCACATAGATTTACGGCTCCCCACAACAGCCCTATTCATGAAACAGGCATCGAGGAAATACTTCGACTCTGCTCCTCACCACCCCAACCCCTTCTGGCTGCATTCTCTTACGAACCCCTCAGGGAACAATCCCACCGCGTAAACAGGACCCGTCGGCCAAGGGAAGTCCTCAACGACCCTGACGACCCTATCACTCTCGCCACTTTGAAGGCCAACCAGATCGCTAGTCAGTCCCGTCCCTCACGCACCAACCGTCCTCGCCGGCGAGGTCGTAGAGCCCCTCATTTCAGCACGTACACTGGTAGATTCTCTCCTACAGCACGCCCTTCTGTCGGAAGCCTCCAGTAGCGCCCTGAGCCGAGGCCCACTTGGGCGCCCTCAGGCCGGCTTATAAAAAAAATAAACTTAGCTTTAAGTTTATTTTAGGGGTTATGAGCCTTCAGCTCGCCCTTTTCTTCAGTGGCGCAGTCAAGGCCATCAGCGGCCAACTGCAAAATATCCTTCAAAAAAAAAAGCGCGGCTTGTACGCCGTGTACGGCCGCACACATTCGTATAATCTCGCGTTGCACTTGCGTTGCAATAACAATGGTCGTACTAACTAGCGATGGGACGAGTTGTATTTTTTTTTGAACTCGAGTTACCCGAGTTCGGTATCTGACAGAGCAATTCCGAGTTGCGACGGCTCGCGATTAGCGAACACGACGCGGCCTATGTCCATGTGAACACGAACCTATCTTTCACAGTGATGGGCACGATAGATTGACCGGCAGACCGCGACTCGAGCGTGCTCCGAAGGTCGCCGAACCAACAGAGTGAGAACGAGTAGCCGATGCGTTGTGTGAATGAAGTATTCGGCTCAGTGTAGCGAAACGAGCTAGCTCGAGTAAATAACAATTTGCTCGAATTGACTCGTCGTGGGAGTAACTCGAGTTAATCGAGATAAATAACTCGACTCACCCATCGCTAATCCCCATTCGCCTTATCACACAGCCCCCACACGCCTTTCGTTATTTATGCGACTGTGTGCGTCCGTACACGTCGTGTGTCGTGGAGTTACAATACTTCTCTTATTTTACTATCTACTATTCAAGTTTTTATGGTCAGGAAAATTGACGTAAATTCAACACATCCAAACTATAATATTATAAAGGCGAAAGTAACGGTTACGTGTTACGTTTTCACGCCTAAACCGCTGAATCAATTTTGATGAATTTTGGTAAACCTGAGAGAAGGATATACGGTTACTTTTTGTCACAAAAATTAATCTTAAGGGGTGTGAAATAAGGATGAAATGTGTATGTAGCACCAATACGACTATAAACATTAGTATAGTACAGTAGGCTACTCGAAGTACTTATTCTATGCCGACGAAGTCGCGAGCACCAGTTAGTGGGACCATAAGTTTCAGTTCGGATCCGCTCTATGTTACAAGATTGTTAATAAATAATTTTTGTACAGACAATATGAATAATCAACTGAAAGTGTAACTAGTATTTAAATAAAAAAAAACACCTTGGAAATATCATTTAACTTGTCTACCTTTATAAGGAAAATTGACAACTTTAATCTACGACTTTTGCATCAGTTGTTAAGTTCGTTTTCCTTAATAAAGTTCATATCGTTTTGTAACGCGAACTTGCTACAAAGTAAATCCCCTGTATACAGAATAAAACAATAAAGTGTGGAATAACATTCTTTGTATTGTACAATAAATTTTAACCTCTATTATAGTCAAGTTAGCCTGCATGTAATCATGCTATTATTATATATTATATTATATTATATATTTTCATCACACTTGCACGTAGGTAAACATATCTACGTGCAAGCGTGATGAAAATATGTTTTAAAAAATTTATAAAATAGTACAGAATATTAAAAAAAACCGACCTCAAAAGTCATTCATCTCCTAGTTTGCCACACCTAGCGGTGGAATATTTTCTTCAAATTTAAATGAGACCACATCTGAGGTATCCTCTTTAGAACAAAAACGAATCATCAAAATCGGTTCACAAATGAGTTATCGCGTAACATACATACAAAAAAACATATATAGTCGAATTGAGAACCTCCTCCCTTTTTTGAAGTCGGTTAAAAATGTCACACAATGTTAAAATATAGAAGTAACGGTTACATTAAGTCAGTGACCACAATTCCGATTTCTGTTTCTTTGCAGTTGACTGATTTTTAATTACTATCTTTTCAGAAATCAAGCAGAGATGGCGCACACATGCCGCGGCACAATATCCCTGCTGGGGGCGCTCATCCACACAGCTGACTCGTGCACGTTCGTCATCAGCAACGGAGGCACACAGACGTTCCACATCCGCGCACATGACGAAGTCGAAAGGCAGAGCTGGGTCACAGCGTTGGAGCTTGCTAAAGCTAAAGCTATGTAAGTACAAATGGCGAAATATTATTTGCACCGATTCATTTCATCGCTTAATTTTTAGAATACAATAGGACAAAAGAGTCTCGGTAACGCACATGCCATCCGTATAGTGCAAACAACTAGTTTAAACGCTTTTATTCATTCGCAGTTAATTCTAAACTTGGTAATCTTTATGCGGAACTAACTTTGTTGAATTAGTACAAAAAGAGTCGGCAGTCGGTATTTTACGGAGTACCTAGTAGTTTATAAAAACGATTTGATGAGTAAATAAATGATTAAAAATTAGAATTCAGAAAAAGCATTTACGCACCCATGACTCGTACGACGTCACAAGATCATTCCCTATTGTAATAGAAAGAATAAGTCGTTCCAAGAGATAACATTCGTCGGTGTAAATAATATTTTTTCAACTTTATTCATAACGGCCATTCTCACATTCGGTGTTCTCAACCCAATTACCGTAGCCATTTCTGTGTCCTCGGCCTAATTACCGTAGCCATTGCTTTTTCTCGCTTATTATACCCAATAACATTGAAATATGAAAACTTTTAAACTAAATTATCAATATGTCTAAATGGTATTAGAATAGACGAAGTAGTTTTCGAGTTATTAAGACACAAATGTTTCATGGAAACGGTAATTAGATCTAATTACCGTACCTTAAAAATGTTTGAACTTTCTAATTACCGTATCCATGGCTACGGTAATTAGTAGCAATAGATGTAGTTATCGTTTCCATAAAATATTTATGTCTTAATAACTTGAAAACTACTTTGTCTATTCTAATACCATTTAGATATGTTGATAGTTTAGCTTAAAGTTTTCATATTTTAATGTTGTTGAGCATAATAGACTAGAAAAAACAATAGCTACGGTAAATAGACTGAGAACATCGAAATGGCTACGGTAATTAGGCTGAGAATGCCGAATGTGAGAATGGCCGTATATATTTCGCACCCCTCATAGAAGAATGCCATAAGTGGAGTTACGTCAAACATGTTTATTGCCTCATTAGATACAGAAAAATATAACTCACATCCTCTCCATTTCTTGCAACTCTATCTACAATATTAGTCCATAGAATTACAAGAATTGGAGAGCATGCGCATTATATTTTCTGTATCAGATGGAGCAATAATCGTGTTTGTCGTCACTCCACTTATGCCATTCTTCCACGAGGGGTGAATTTGGTGTGTGTCGGAATATTCCCATTCGTTGGAAGCGAAAATTCGCTGATCGCAAACAGCGGATCGTCTTGGGACTATGAATAACACCTAGAGATTCAAAGCTATCCCTTATATGTATATTATATATTATATTATAGCTATTGCATTAGTAACCTGTTTCATTGTAACGCACTATTTTACGCTATAATTTTTTCACTTATCCGATTATCCAAATATTGAACGTTATTGTGTGACTTGACCAGATATAATAATAATGATAATAATAATAACAAGCCGAGAAGAATAAAGCAAATAATAATAATAATAAAAAGCTTTTTTATCCACGTTAAAATAACAACAATTTAGCCTTAATAATATTTTTTATTTTTTTATATTATTCAGTTACGCATTTAATATAATTACACGTTAATTAACCTTGTATTTAAACAGTTGAGGTACCTTTTGAATTGCAGTAGCGAATTAATGAGTGAGAAAATTGTAATGGCAAATAATATATTATTACAATGAAATCGTCAACTTCCGTAACATTCAAATGATTCATAACTATAGAAAATATACCTACTGTGTATGTCATGGACATATGACTCAATGCAATGTCGATTTGCTACTGTAATCCATATTCGTTGCTATGTAGAGTTTTGAGTTGATTGTTCAGGTGTGAACAATATGTTTTTAAGTGTAGGAAAAGGATTACATATTCGCCCAGAAACGTAAGAAGCCTGTAATGCTGGCAATAAGGTTCACATTAGATTTTTTTTAATTTCATATCATGACTATGGATTTAAGTCCTTCAGTCAAAATTATACAGATAATAAACATAGAAAATTATACAAAAAAGTAACAGTAATACTTAGCACTTTTGATATCAATATTTGTGTTGCCTGTTGAAGAACTTAATTCTTAGGGGCGAAGGGCGGATATTTGAAAAGAAAAACCGATGTAGAAGGTACGTACAAAGTAAATGTTATAATGTTGGGGAATAAATTTCTTCTGATGAAAATCGTGTTAAATTTACCCTTTGCTACAGCTAGTTAATATAAAAATGACGATGTTGTCAGGATGTTTTACTATCATGATATTTAATTATTTTTTGTGAAATTACTCCACTAGTTTCTTATAATTATCAAACAAAAATCGCACTTTTTGAAAAAATTCTAAGCGTAGTTGGCATGACGTCTGGCACGGTTTGCTGGGAGACATAGGTTCAAATCCAACCGATGAAAGTGATTTTTTTTCTTATTATTCGATCTTTATTATAATTATTAATACAAAGATCGAACACTTAGAAAAATTCTTTCGATCCGGGCAGATTCTAGCAAACCGCGTCAGACTCTATGCCAACTAAGCCACGGAACGAACCAGCGGACCTCACGATTTTTTCTATGTGCTTATTTCTATTTTTCGAATCTTTGTATTTGGTTTTTCATAGACTTTTTAGCCGTAGCGCCATCTATGAGAAATATAATGAAAGTATTTCGTCACCCAGTTAGTAACTTTACAGTTACCAGCCCTGGCTAGAGATATCGCTATTCATTGCAATTAATAATTATAATAAACTAGTGGAGTAATTTCACAAAAAATAATTGAATATCAATTCAATACAAATTTATTCGATCTTTGTTTAATAATGAAATTATCAATATTCAAACCGGAAATAAACGCGAGTAAATTATCAGTCAGGCCTACTTAACCTAATCGGAACTTCGGCATTATAGGTAGGCCTGCAAATACCTATTAAACTCTTATTTCTCTTTTAAACTATTAATATAATTAATATAAGTTTTTAAAGGTATATTTAATAAGTACTTAAGTAATATATCGTGTTATATAATATAATAAAAAAAGCTAAAATTGATACTATCATAACCTTTATGCTTCAACCATTCATACAATGTCGTCCTCAGTGTTTTAATGTGCAAGTTTTTGATGTCATTAGGTACTCTATTCTAAAGTCTAATAACACATAAACTGTTTCGGTTATATTTATCCGTCTGAGGTGGTTCAAAAAAGAACAGTCGATCAGGTTTTGTGACTTCTTCTTATCGCATCTATGGCGTACACTCTAATATGCTTGCTATCGTGGTGGAAGAATTTGCCAATCGGCGAGTACTGTACTCGCCGATTGGTGCCCAGTTTTGATCGGACGAACAAGTTGTGCGCCTGGTGGTAAGGGACACGCCTGTCGATAACAGTTGCAGTGCCACTGCGCCCCACACCCTGAGACATAAGTTGACAAGTCCCATGTGCCTGTGTTTTCACCAGCACCCTTACCATTCGAAACCGATACGCAGTAATGCTCACGTTACTGCTTGGTGGCAGAAATAGGTAAGGTAGCAGTGCTTCCCTGGACGAACTCTTTCTTAAGGAGCTCTACTGCTACCTCCTCATTAATTGCTGGGTCGCCGATGACTTAAAAAATTAGAAGTCTAGAAGAATGTATGTAAACACTTTATAGTACAACACAAACAAATTACAAATTTTTAACAAAGAAATAAAACGTTATTGTACGAGCTTATCCCATAAAGGGATTACTTCCAGCTAACCTTTGAATAATTGAAAGGAAAGTTGTGTCCTGTGTCGGCAATAAAATCTAATAAATCATTAAATTGGCTGCTGCATACTCAATAAATAAAGAATAAATTTATTGTATCAAATGTACACACGACTACATTATATTAAATAAATAATGATACACTAATACACATAAAATATATAATAAAACGAATGTATAAAATAAGACTATAACTGAATATGTTATGGTACATAATTTGATGAATTACGCTTTGTAACAAAGTGTTTCTGTTTCTGGTTTGAGATTATCGGTTTCTGTTTGACCAGCAAGTATGCTGTACCCCTATAAAAGAGTAGCTATAGATAGCCCTGAAACTTAGCTTTTTGTCGCTGTCACATTGCGCAGTGGTATTTACAAAGCTGCCTAGTTACATAGCTACATAGAGGTTAACAGTTGCCATTCATAGCTTTAAATCACAAAGATCTTTAAATGGGTACTGCCACTGCGCCCGTCACCCTGAGACATAAGTTGACAAGTCGCATGTGCCTGTAATTTCACCAGCACCCTTACCCTTGAAAACCGAAACACAATAATACTGACATTACTGCTTGGCGGTAGAAATACATAAGGTGGCAGTACTTCCCTGGACGAACTCTTTCACAAGGAGCTCTACTGCTACTAAAAAAGGCTACAGAGCATGATACACCCCAACCGCTGTCACGTACTTTATGCATTTTAAATAATGCAAATTTTCCATCGACGCTGATGCGTTATTTGTGTCATACGTATTATTTATTATTTACACTGCTTAGAAATAGTACTTCCCTGGATAACAAGGAGTTCTACTGCTACAAGAAACGTACAAAAAAGAAATGATTTGTTATTATCAAGGAGCCTTCGTACACCCCTATTTCTGTAACTCCTGATGTTTATGTCTATAGCTTTAGTAAATAAATGTAAGTTATTATTTTACAAAAACGAACAAGCAATGTTATAATTCAAAATGTAATTGTTATTCAACAGTCGAGCTCAAGAATCGGATGACGACGAAGACCAAATTGGTTCAAATGCGGTAGCAATCTCCGGTGTAGGCGAGGCAGATGGCGAGGATGCGGGTGGAATTGCACGGGAGCTAGCAGCCCGATTCCACGACCTTCGAACGTGTTCAGAATTAGTTGCAAGACACGGTGCGGTCCTGCAGAGGTCGCTTGTGGACTTGGAAATACCGCCCTCAGATATTACGATACAAGTCGCTGAACGAGCTACGTTGTTCAGGATATCTTGTAATGCTATGATGAATGTGAGTATCGAGAGACATCATTTATAGAGACTTATTGCATTGGCGTATCTCTATGCGCTAAAACTTAGGTTCCCAAACTTTTGAACTCATCGGCCACTTAGGCAAGATAAAAAAATTTCAACGTCCACCACCACGATAAATAATTGAAAACACGTATTTTTCATATTAAGTTAATATAAAAATCACAAGGAAAAAAGTTATGTATATTTTGTAGTATAGTTTATATGGATATGTCAGGTTTTTTTTTCAAATGTGATGGCACCTCCTGGACAGCATCGTCGTCTCCCAATTTCTCGCCTAGAACTGTTCAGCGCCTACTGGCGAGCGGTAGGGACCACTTTGGGAAACTATGTTCTAAAAGTACGTCAATATAGCCTTACATAGTAAACGGGAGTAAAGTATATCCTTTAATCTCTAGGGCGTGAAAAGTAGATAATTTTTAAATTTACTTCGAGCGAACATACTCAAACAGCTAGTAGTACGCTCGATTTTGGTTCCGTGCCTTTTTCGCTTAGACGGTGGCGCCATATTAATTTGATATAAAAAATATTATAATCATTTTTTGGATACTCCAATGCATAATCTGGTAGTTAGCAAGATTAATATACTACAACAGGATCAGACTCCTGAATAGTCAGATGACAAAGAGATTAAAATCAATTAACATGCATGCTTGAAAACGATTATAAATTGTAATTACTTGATAAAAAAGTACATATTTATAGTGCGTTGAACAAATTCATGCAATAGCTTAAGAAAAATGTATTAACTATTTTTTTTCTTCATGCCAGGCAAATGAGTGACCCCACGCCTCTCTATTTTAAATTAAAAATGGAATCTACCTATTGATACAAAATCAAATAAGTATATATATATATATATATATTAACGCGCTCAGCATTGAAGTCAATCAATACAGTTTAAAACGAGACAACCTGTGTATTTTACAAGCGGCTATTTTGCACGATCTAACCTTCATTTGGCTTTGTAAAGTAGCAGAGTCATTTATTTCCATTTTTAACCGACTTCAAAACAAGGAGGAGATTCTCAATTCGACTATATTTTTTTATATGTATGTTACGCGATAACGATTTGTGAATCTATTTAGATAATTCTTTTTGTTGTTGGAACCTCAGTATTGGTCCCATTTAAATTTGAAGAAAATATTCCACCTGGTGGCAAACTAGGGGATTTTTTTTTAATAAAAAGTGTGCATTAGATCTCTGGTGGAAAATGACGATGACGTCGACGATGTAGCATGCACACCTAAATAATGCCTACTCACTCTCGCCTTGAAAAGGTCCAAGTTATAAGTTTCAGGGAACAAGTCTACAGGCAGGGAATTCCACCCCATAGCCTATTCGATTTCGCGCATTTTCCAGTAACTGATTTCAATAATACTTAGCAAATAGATGTGATTTTACGAACGTTTGAGGTCCGGTTCTTTTTTAATAAAAAAGTTACAATTAACATTCTCAATCGATCTCATGCTGCTTTGGGGGAACGCTGCTGCAACACATATTACACCACTGTTTAAAACCCAGAAGAAATGTGTCAGGGCCATGTTTGGTGTGGGCCAGCGAGAAAGCTGTGTACCCTATTTTAGAAAACTAAAAATTTTAACCCTACCATCTATGTATATTTACGAGGCCTGTGTTTATATAAAACAAAATCCAGGCAACTTTAATCTAGTGAAAACCAGACATCCCAGGAAAACAAAATAGAAATACGGCCAAAACAACGCCCCACCTTGGAATTTTACAATAGAACGATGTTTTTATTGGCACCTAAATTATTTAATAAAATACCAGATGCAGTTAAAGAACTAAATTGTAGGCAATTTAAAATAAAATTACATAATTTGTTAGTTACACAATGCTACTACAATATAAATGATTTTTTAATTGATAACATAAAGTGTAAAATTTAACCACTGTGCGTGATTGAAATAAGAATTGTGTAAAATATTCGCATGCCAAGTTTTGGTGAAATGTACGATCTAATAATAATATACTATAACACCATTGTAAACTACATTTTTCAGCGAATAAATATCTTGTATTCTTGTATTCGATTTGAATTGTGTACGCCGTGGTCTACCTTAGCCCACATTCCTCTCAATGTTTCTTTTGATTAAAAACATACCCGTACAAGTAAAAACTATTACCATTGTCTCAGGCGTGTTCGGAATTCATGTCGGCGGCAGCGGCGTCTACAGCACGCATGTCCCGGGCGCTGCAACACGAACGGGAACAAAAGATGCGCCTGCAAGAAGTTGTCGAGCAACTAGCGAGGCAGCATGACAATCTCGAGAAGACGGTCACTGCCCGTTCGACGCCACATTCAGGTTAGAACATTTGCTTTATTTAAACGCGTACCTAAAAATCTGTAGACTTGGACTCCACCTTCCTCTTCTAACGTCATTCCATCATCAGCCGTTTAGAGATACCACAGAGATCGCAATGACAAAAACCTGAAAGTGGTTTTTTCGTTGTTGCAATAATACTAGACATTTAAACGTTTTCTGATTGTTATTTTTGATAGATACACAGATATTTCCGTAGCGTTATATTATATTCATACATATTTAGGTAAATAACACCTGCAGTGTGATCTAGCTCGGTTTACAGTGTGGTCTACCTGTTTTAATCGTACTGGTAAAAATTCCAATTTAACCCGGCGTCATTGTGGTAGGATATTGCTACACCGACTGTATGGTGGGTCAATATTACCCACATATGTAATGTATGTTTTTGTATAAATCCGGAATCTTTGTTATTTAATAGTATAATTATTTGTATGTAATTACAACTCGGTCGTTTAAGTCTTTTGAGTCGTTTAGTATAACGACTGAGTCTTATTAATAAAAACTCGAATCCCCAGTCTTAATTTTAGAGTGGAGTCCTGTAAAATGGAGTCGAGTCATTATAAAACGCCTTAAAAGACTGAGTCTCTTTCATTGCTAATAATTATACTTTGAACTTAGAAATAACAGAATATAATAAATATTTATTCACGAACTCTTAATTCGGTTTATGAAACTTTTACATAAACACACAAAAATTTACAACAAAATTGTGCATTCTTATATTTTATACACTAATAATCAATCCTTTCAATTGTTTCTGGCATTTTATTCATAGGGCTATCTAATCTTTAAAAACAAGTATAAAAAAGTTAATTAAAATCTTCTATAAGAATAAACACTGCAGAAAGATACTGTGTGTTCAGGATAAATATATTTGTTGCAACCTTGTGTGTTCAGGACAAATATATTTGTTGCAACCTTTGTGTTTTGTTTTGCAGTCTCTTTTTGCAGACCATGCTTAGCATCTTCTACGTACGTTCGGTGTCTTAGCAGGAGGCTCCTCTAATTATTCACCAACGAATTGTCAGATTCTTTTGCGCTTTTGTCCTGTCAAGTGACATTGGCACATCCTGAACGGATTAGGCCAGCAATGTGTAAAAGGTCATTGTGTTTTCAGCCAAACTGTATCATCTATCTCCACCATCTGTATCATCTGAAGCTAAGTGGATTTAAAGAAGTTTCTGGATCTGATACAGGCTTCACTTGAAAATGGCGCAAAATAGGCGTAGGCAATGAGGATGGGTCGTATTTACTCTGTTTGATAATTGCATACGTGTATCTCAGGGCACGACTTTCGCCAAACTGTTTTCTAGTCAAAAATATTTAGAACACAATGTTGGTTCCAGCTACTGAGAAGAACAGCAACGTCTCACGCGTACTTACAAAAAAAATTATTCAAAATTATAAATGTTACGAGTCATTATGACCCAACCCCAATGATGTCGGGTTAAAAAAGCAGTATGATGTGGGTGGTTCACCGACGCCGCCTTGTTTAATAAAGAATCATGACAAAAACAATTCTTTATAATGCACTGACGAACAAAATATAGCTAGCATTTATTTATTAATTTTGACTGGTTGGTGCATTTGGTGCACAACTTTGTACTTTGGTGATCCAACCAGTGTATGATGAGCCACAAACACAAAACAAAAAAAAAACCTAACAAACTCTTATAAAGGAATCTTCGGCTATGTGACTGGTGCCAGACTTGATCACCACCTAACACATCATTCACCTTTTTAGTATTAGAGTCCAAGCCTTATGGTCTTGTTTGTTGTGATATAAGCGAATAAGTGATTAACATTGTCCATAAACGATTGAAATGTAAAGTTTGCTTTTATTCTAGGTGAATGCGAATATTTTACGGATTGCGAAAATAACAGTCCTTAGAAAAAACAACACTTACGGTTATATGGTTGAGCATGTCACCAGTAATGCCACCTATTGCGGTTCAAGATAACTATTATTCTTCAAGTACTCACAAGTTGTAATAGATGTCGCTACTCGTTCATTTTACAGGTGTACGCTCCGTTTCGCTTATTAGCTATTACAACTTTTAATTATTCAAAAAAATGATGTTTTATTTCAAACTTCACAGCTTTGTGAACATGACTTATAGAAAAAACAACGAGGCATTACGTGTAGGTTGGTGACGTACGGCGCGTTATTATTTTTTTTAATAGTCAACTAATTCATCAACCACATGAAACGGAACGTAGATTGCTTGGTGACGGAAAATTGGAATGGAATGTCTAACAAAATTCAATAAATTTGGTTTTACACAAAGTGAATTCAAATTGTTAGTTGTGCCCGAGGACTAAATAACATAATAATGTTCTAAGTTCTAAATTTTATACTGATTTTCGGTACGTAATATGAGTCAAGAGTGACGGTATTCTGACGTATTTACATTTCGTAGATTTTCAGGTTTTTTCGATGATCTCAAGGTTGTTTCACTATTCTGAAGCGGTGCGATTGTAATTGGCATCTAGTATTACGTGATCACTGATTTAATTATTGTCCGCCGTGTACTGGTGTAGCCTTTGGGCAGTGCGTGTGGCGGTGCTACGTTAGCAACAGTATTCGTGTTGTGTATTGTGCTCTTAATCTTGTGTAGTGCTAGCTTTACTTATAATTTGTTACGTTCTCGGCGAGATGACGCACTGAGAGTCATCGCAGTCGCGATGGGCGGTAAGTGAGGATGGCGCACACTAAGCTCCTGTGTCAATGTTGGCAAATGCTAAGCCTCTGGTTGAAGTCCTAGTTAGCAAACGCTTGTGGAAAAAGTGCATGTCGCTCATCAGTTTTTGCTAAACACTGCACTGTTTAAGAGCTATTTTTATTACCATAAAATTATAGTACAAGGTCTGTTTTAAATACCTACTGGTGCATTGCAGTGGCAACATATTTTATTGGCTATCTGACTTCCGTTAACACTGGTTTAATATTGAAATGAATTTAATTATTAAAACCAAAATCTATGTTTAAAAAAGTTGAAATGGAAAACAATGACAGCTTTATATTGAACAATGTGTTTTCCTGTCACATTACAGTACATAGGATGTACAAAACACAAATATTTTAACAGGAAAACATTTGTACCTTCTGCTTATTGTTTCTAATATTTCAACTAAAGAACTTGAATTCTGAAGGTCATTAAATAAATTTAAAAAAATATGTTTTAACATGTATAAGACAAATGTATAAAATTTGTTCTTAGTTCTCAGTGTAAATATTTTCACAAGTAGTTAGCATGTTTTTAGCCTGCACACATAACTTTGCTGGGAAAGGAAGGTGCTAATATCAACACTGGACGTACACAAACAGTCACTGAACTAAACCTACCTTGATTATGGAACACATTTTGGCTACATTTTGTAGCAATTATTAAATATTTATTTTTAAATATTTACTGTAGCAGACTGTACTTAAAGTTTATTAATTTACTACAAAAACACTTGCTTACTTATCAATCCAAAACAGAAAACAATAGTGAAGAAAAGGTGCCAAAAACAATCATGTTTCAATTTAGAATTCAAATATAAAATAAACTTAAAAAGACTATATGAAATATATACTCCCAGACACGTAATTCGAGCCACCTCGCATTTTTTACATAAAGGGCTAGAATACAAAAATAATGTTATCATCAAAGAAAAAGTTTTCCCCTGGTTTTGCAAATCCAAAACTTACAGAAGAGAAGTTTAGTATACTAGTTTCAAATTTGTGTAATAGTTTTTGGTCAATCAAACATTGTTTAAGCTTAGGGCACTTAATACTGAAAAGGCATGGTGACTCGAATTATGTGTGACTGTTGTAATTCTCTACTTTACAATCACTACACTATCAGTAAATTGTTTGAGTGATTTATGGGGGTTGCGAGCGAAGAAGCCCCTGCTTCAGCCTCTCTTAGTCATCGAAACATGCATTCACTTTAATCTCTTGATGTTGCTACTATCAGTCATTGCATTAGTGAGAGGATTCGGATTGAGCTAAAGTCTGTCTAGCAATTATAATGACTTAAATAATTACCAAATGACAACATCAATTACTATTTCTTGAACTAAGAAAACCCTCTGCACTAACAAGGCAATTAGCAGAGTAGAAAAATTAAGGTTAGGTTTGATGGACGTTTTAACCAGTTTGAATTTACAAAGGTAATTTCCAAATGCAAGCTAATTGATGATACAAGAAATATTAAAAAATAATCAAAGCCAGATTTTGCCCAACCACAGAATTGAGCAAGTCATATACAAAGATATCTTTGTATAATATCCTAGTTTTCTAGTTCTATTTGTAACTTTCACCTTTTACGAACTTTTAGAACTCCTGGAATTTCTTAATAAGAAATGAAAGTAGGTTTATCGAAAACTATAAATCAAATAATCAAAAAAAAAAACAAAAAAAAATTTCTATATTTCAGTCTTAAAGACAATGTGGCAGTCTATAGTGATTTGGGCATTGCCATATTTTAAGCAAGTTTCTTTCACATGGAATGTCAAAAAATTATGACTTAGCAGTCATAATTATACATGACATAACCTTGTTCATGGGCTGATCTGGGTCGGGACCTGAACTTATAACATCCCAGTACCTACTTACTTTTATTTTATTTATTTTGGCACAGTTACAAGATGCAAATTATATAATACAAGTAAAACTATGACACTGACCAGAAACAAACAAATTTGTAGCTCAATAACAACCATGCACAACATGCAAATAACATTTTGCAACTTAATGAATATGCCTAACTAAGTCAATAGAAAATGTGTACTTATATAAAATTACTTCACTCTGACATGTGGTCACATGCCTCATTACAGTTCGGGCTATTTATAATTTTCTCGATTGTGTTGGTGCTCTTGTGGAATATATCAAGATAAAACATTATACTGCCTGCATAAAGGTATGAGAGGGCTGTTATGTGACACATTATTTTTAGTAGAAGGCACCAAAAACAAATGTTGCCTACAAT